GCCTTAGCCGCTTGAGCCACAGGCGCCAAGCCACTCTTTTTATTTTTATGAGACAGAGCCTTAAGCTGTCGCCCTGGGTAGAGTGCCATGGCATCACAGCTCACAGCAACCTCCAACTCCTGGGCTCAAGTGATTGTCCTGCCTCCCCCTCCCAAGTAGCTGGGAATACAGTTGCCCATCACAACACCCAGCTATTTTTTGGTTGCAGCTGTCATTGTTTGGCGGGCCTGGGCTTATTCAAACCCGCCAGCTCGGTGTATGTAGCTGGCACCTTTACCTACTTGAGCCACAGGCGCCAAGCCATACCCCAATATTCTTGGGCCCTTTATAACTGACCCTCCAGAGCCATCTCTAGCTTCTCTTCTCTCCAGAGTCTTCAAAGATCCCTGCTTCCCTCATTAAGCCACAGCTTCCCACCAGTGCTAAGTTGAAGGAGGGAATGTATTCTCTCATTGTTGACTCAGCTTAGTAAAGTCAACTTTGCATTTTTATGAAAAGCTCTTCCAAAGCCTGTTGACAGCAGACTGTGGTCTGGTTACTGTCAGGGCCAACACAGTGTTAAATCTACAAGAATCCGCAAGTTCACAAGCACAACTGTCCAGTTTAAAGTGCATTCCCTCAAGTCCTTACTTCCTCACACACAGTTGCTTAAGCACTAGTTTCCAAACTGTTCTCATAGATGCTACATCCTGAGCCTCAAAATAGCCTTCTGAGTCAGGGTGCCTGAGCAGGTACCCTTGGGAACCCAAACTTAAAGGGAAATTAACCCAAAGGACCAGGTGACTCCCCCCAAGACACTCACATGGACTAGATGGAAGAGAAGCATGCAGAACAGACACACAACCAGAGGGAAGCTAGGTAAGGGTGCAAGACCACAGCAGGACCAGAACCTGTAGTGGACTGGAGAACACAGACCTGTCCCAAAGGATGTGGCCAACCCCCAGCCCAGCCAACTGTCACTGCTCTGGGGAGGGAGCTACTTGCTTCTTCAGCTATTTCGAGACTGGATCCTTACGTAAAACTTGCCAAGCTTTTAAATGCTATGCCTATGTAACAAACATAGGGAAGACTGCCGGTTTGACTTCTCCAATACCCCAGGTAAGGAAGTGTATCTGGGAAACCGGCCCAGCCTTTGTGAACACAATTCCCTCTTCCAAAGAGCACAGCCCAGTAGAAAAGCCCCATCCCCAATCTACACAAACCTTCCCCTCGGTTCCTGTTCTGTTGCTTCCACCGGCTCTGCTCCTGATGGCAACCTGTCCTGTCCCAGCAGACCTTCCAGGATGGAAAGCACAGCCCTACCCTGCAAGCTACTCACCATGGGCCTTCTCTGCTCCACCCTACCTCAGCAGCTTCCATCTCCTACTGTAACCTCAGCTGCCCACAGGTATGACTTTTGGCTTCTATGCACTGCTGGCCAAAATAACCCAAGTAATCTGGTTTGGTGAAAACTGAAGCTCTGTGGGCCTAAATGCCCCAGGATTCCACACTTGCCCTGCCAGTAGGCCATCCGATCTTAATTCCTAATCCTAGCAAAGAAGCAAGTTCTTCACCAGAGTTCACAGGGCCATGCGTTTCACAAAGCCAAGTATTACACCCTCAGCAAAGCCACAAATGGAGCACCTCCACCAAACACCCTTGGCCACCAAGCCCAGGGGCATCCTGCCCTCTGCCTCTAGGCATCCAGGCAAGAAGTCACACCACGTTCACTCCACAAGACTCTGCCACTCTTCCTTCTGGCAAATTTTCTGTCCCTTTGCTTCCATGGGTGTTGTTTTTTCCGGGTCCCCTTTGCTTTTCTAAGATTTGCTTCCTAGGATTTCTCTAACACTTTCATCCATATCCAGTTCTTGTAAGATTTATAAAGTTGACTCCCAGATGGACACAAGTAAGGTGCAAACCGAGATGACCTACAGGACAAAGCAGCAGAAGCCTAGGCCTAGGCATGGTGGCTGACGCCTGTAATCCTAGCACTCTGGGAGGACAAAGTGGGTAAGGATTGCCAGAGGTCCCAGGTTCAAGACCAGCCTAAGAGTGAGACCCAGTCCCTACAACAGCCAGGCAATGTGGTGGGCATCTGTAGTCCCAGCTACTTGGGAAGCTGAGGCAAGAGGATTGCTTCAGTCCCAAGAGTTTTGGGTTGCTGTGAGCTATGACGCCATAGCAACTCTATTGAGGGCACAAGTGACTCTTGTCTCAAAAGTCACCTGTACCAACTCAGTAACTCTAGAATATTCCCTCCCCAATTTCCCAACTTCATACAACCAATAACCGTAACTCTGAAGCCTGAACAGAACAGCATGTGGCAAACAGTAAGCAGCATACAAGATAACCCCTGATGTTCCTAAAAATCACATACAACCCGAGACTTACCATAAAGTTGGAGGCACCTTCAAATCCCCCCCTTATACAACACTCATTTGCTCCATAAGCACAAGCCTACAGCACACAGAAAATTAACCACAGATCCTATCTACTTCAGGTTAAATGAAGTTGTAACCTTGTAATTTTAATTTCTACTGAGGCCAGCAAATAATTTTTAAAGTAACAATAATTTTAAAGTAGTAAGTTGAGTCCCAACAACTATACTGACAAGCAAATATTAACATGAGAGCCCAAGACTAGCCCCATGTGCGCCCACACTGCTGACACCCCACACCTGACATCTTTGGGCTATTAAAGGAAAGGCCAAACACCACTCCAGTAAATGTTTTCCCTGAATGTTTAATGGAACATGTAAACTTGGGAGGGAATTTAAATCTGAAGTAAGACTAGGCCAGGCGGGGTGGCTCATGCCTGTAATCCTAGCACTCTGGGAGGCCAAGGTGGGTGGATTGCCCTGAACTCACAGGTTTGAGACCAGTCTGAACAAGAGTGAGACACCCATCTCTAAAAATAGCCAGGTGTTGGTGGTGCCTGTGGCTCAAAGGAGTAGGGCAATGGCCCCATATGCCAGAGGTGGCAGGTTCAAACCCAGTCCCGGCCAAAAACTGCAAAAAAAAAAAATAAATACCCAGGTGTTGTGGCAGGCTCCTGTAGCTCACAGATTCGAGACAGGTCTGAGAAAAAGTGAGACCCCGATTCTAAAAATAGCCATGCGTTGCGGCAGGCTCCTGTAGCCCGAGTTACTCAGGAGGTTGAGGCAAGAGAATCCCTTCAGCCCCAAAGCTGGAGGTTGCTGTGAGTTATGACACCACAGCACTCTATCAAGGGCAACATAGTGAAAGTGAAGAAGAAGTAACAGCAGACTAACTTTTGATACCCCCAGGAAACTCTAAATATATTTCAAACAACCAGACACATGAAAAGTCTTTATTAATCCTCTTGTGAAAAATCTATACAATGGCTGCAGATAACATCACTGGAGAATCTTTACTCCTTCGCCTGTCAATCAAGAGAAAGAAGGTTAGTCAGCAAATGCCTTTAAAATTCTTTAAAAATTATTCATCAAATCCAAAGTTAACACTCATGCAGAACAAAGATTAGTAACCTAAAATACAAAGTTATTTTGTACAATCATAACAATGTTGTGGAAAAAAAAACTTATAAACATTCAAGAAAAAAAAACTTAACAAACATTCAAGTTAGGAATGAAACAAACAAAAAAAATGAGTTTGTTAAGTATCACTACATTTTAAAAACAAAACTATGTCACTGTTAGTTACAGGTTAAAACTCCTCTGAACATTTGTAAATCTACTTCTAAATGGGTTTCATATGATTTACTTTAAACTACTACATCAGTAACCTAAGGGGTCTAGTGATCTAAATCAAAAGCTTGAATTATACCTGTTATCCAATCTCCAGCTCACTGAATTAGTGGAGGGAAGGGAAAGAGAGGGAAGAGGGAAAGAAACATTTCATTAATAGTCCCTTTCAAACTCCAAAATAATCTGCCTTTAAGGGCATGCAATCAGATACCTTAAAGATGACCATTTTGTTCTTTGCAATTGTATACAGAGCACCCCTTAAGACAGACTCTAATTTCACTCCTCCCAACTCTGAGAACACTCTGCCTGATCACTGTGGTTCTTATGCAAACAAGGTAGCAAGAAGACTTCACAATGAAGAGATCCTTATACCAATGTGGTTACCAGTCCAGGATAGAAGCCACCGCCTATCAGATGATGAAGTATGCGTACTTCAGTCCCTCTGCTCTGCCCAACATCATGTTAGGCACACTGACACCACTGTTAGACTCCAGAATTGTCACAGATTAAAGTCTAATTTAACCTCAGTGAGGGATCTAAATGATCAGCCAAGTCTTTTAACACACGAACTATTAACTATCATGTGAGTTATAGACTTCATATGCTAGTTTTAACCCAAGGGCTCATGAAGCAGCATATGCAACTTAAATCTCTTGACCTACCTTGACCTAATAAAAACACCGTGGCCCCAAGGAAAACAGTTTTTTTCTAGTGTGGATGTCACCATTTATGGTGGCACCTGTAGCTCAGTGGGTAGAGCACCAGCCACGTACACCAAGGCAGGTGTGTTCGAATGGCCTGCTAAACAACAACTGCAACAAAAAATAGCTGAGTATTGTGGTGGGCACCTGTAGTCCCAGCTACTGGGGTGGCCGCAGCAAGACAATCACTTAAACCTAAGAGTTAGAGATTGCTGTGAGCTGTGATGCCACAGCACTCTACCCAGAGTGACAAAGCGTGACTCTGTCTCAAAAAAATAAAAATAAAAATAAAGAAAACATTATGGCAGTGCCCATAACTCAGTCAGCAGGGCACCAGTCACATACATACACCTAGGGTGGCGGGTTCAAACATGGCCCAGGCCTGCTAAGCAACAATGACAACTGCAACTAAAAAACAGCCAGGTGTTGGGGCGGGCGCCTATAGTCCCAGCTACTTGAGAGGCTGAGGCAAGAGACTCGCTTAAGCCCAAGCGTTTGAGGTTGCTGTGAGCTGTGACGCCACAGCCCTCTACCCAGAGTAACAGCTTGAGACTGTCTCAAAAAAAAAAAAAAAAAAAA